TATTGGTGTTTAATGATTTGTATCAAGCTTTTCCATTTAGACTTAGTAAATATAGTTTTCACTTAATTTCTGCTTTTAGATATTATTAATCTAGAATTTAAAACTTAAAAAAAAAAATTAAAACAATTTTTTGCAAAAATTCATTATTCATCAAAAACTCTTTTCTTTTAAGAGAATACTATAAAAGCATTTTTTATTAAATAATGGCATAATTTTAGTGCATTTATTTTTCGATTTTGGTAAAAGAAAAAAAAACAAATTGATGAATTAAATTCTCCAGTCTTGCTTATAACTAGTATAAATGTGAAGAGGCTGAAATTTTAATTTTTCAAAATTTCATAAAATTAAGTGGGTAGTAACTGACCTAAAAAGAATTTTTTATAGAAATATAATACATTTTTCATTAAAATCTAGAAATTATTTGATTTTTGCAAGAATTTCCAAAACAATTGTGATTTTAACACCAAAAAATACGCTAAAATCGTGTGACAAAGTATTTAATTTTTTTTACTCTGCTTAATAATAACAAACACTTTTGTTTTTATCAAGGTTAGGGCCTTTTTTCATCATGCTATGCTTTTTTTTTTAAGTAACAAGTTGAGAGTTTGAGTGAAGTGTGTATTTTGGTATGCGATCACAGCCAAATGTTTCAGAAACTGGAATCTAAAAATAAAAGCTTCTATTTTTTCCCTAACTCCTTGTATCTTACAAAAATTCAGACTAATTTCAATTTCAGGTGGTCAGCTAATCAAATTTAAGCAACTATCCATGAAATCAAAATCTCTTAGTATACAAACACACACACACACACACACACATCTACTCTTGTCAGTAAAACAGTAATAATATTGGATAATGTTTCTCGATTATTAAAACAGAATTTCAAATGAAACGCCTATTTCAAATGGTAGGCAGGATTTAGTCTGAAAAGAAAATTGATTTCTAAAAAAAATGCATTAGGTTTTAGAATTTGACTTAAGCAAACAGGAGTTTGCAAAATATCTTTAAGCAGCTTCCACACATTGTACAGAGAAACAATAAAGGAACCTGGTACAAGACTGATAAGAAAAGGAATAGCGTTTATAAGGAATACAGCACTTGAGTGAAGTTTGGACCTTTATCCTCCTCACGAGCTGGCTAATACTTGAGCCATTCTTGAATACACTTATAGCAGAAGCAGTCATTCCTTTTAAACGTACATGCATAAAAGAGTTAAAATATTCTTCTGTTCTTGCACACATGGTGCAACTGAAGCAATTATTCCTTGGAATTAAAATCAATTTGACTTTATGCCAAGTAAAAGTATCTCTACACCTACAAGGTTGGAACATTTGCAAATTGTCTTAGCACATAATAATCAACTGACACTCAAAGTACATCTGCTTTATTTACAGAGTTGAACACCAAGGAATAATTTTTTTTAAAATTAGAGACAATCATTCCAAGTCGAGTGAATTTTCACTTTCCTTAAACATGAACACTTCCTATAGAGAAACTGAGAGATTGTCTGACTGTAACAAACTCTTGTCAACAAATGGAGTCAGGTCAATCCTCACAAGTGGCCCTGTGCTAAGACTAGATCAATAACCATAAACACCTACAAACACCAAAATATAAAACACGTCATAGAAATTTACGATATATATTGGTCAGTAGCACCTCTCTCATATATATAACTCCTTGTACAATTCAAAAAAAATACAAGAGCAAGAGAACACACTGACTTTTTTTAAAATCATTTCACTCCAAGCAAGGCAATAAAGCCACCAAGATGCAAGGAGTTACTGCATGTGAAAGAATATTAGGATTAGGAAAACAAAGCAGGGGAGATGATTGATCTTCAAAAATTTAAATGCAATGTCAATTGCTAAGTTGATAAGACAGCAAGAAAATAAGAGAGTTGCCCAAATGATGAGAAAAGAAAGTGTTAGCATAGAACTTAGTTTGAAATTACTAGATGAGACCTATCTAGTACTTCACTTAAATTCATAAAGTCAGTGTACCAAAGAGGAAAGCTCATTAGAATTGCAAACAACTACTGAAATATTGATTATGAAATTATTAAAATGAACAGTCAGAAATTTCTTCTCTATTTTCTCATCAAAACAACAAAAATTTACACTGAAAGCAAGAGTATTCAGAATTCAACTCATCTCAGTGCCAGATCAAATAGACATATTAACAATCGACCAGTAGACATTTACAGAAGAGCATATTTTCCACTGAACAAATAGAATGTCTCGTCACAGAATCTCCATTGTAAAAAAATGGACACATTCAATTTTTGCTTCATTTAAAAAGAAAGAAATCATGTTGAGGCAACAGATCAGTTTTTATCTGTAACTCTTCATTTGACCAGCATTTCAAACCTCACAAATAAAATCTGCAACCAAACATTTATTTTTCTTTGAACTTGTTTTTTTTTTTGTCCTGAAAATTACATGGCAAAGAAACGTCTTTTACAAGCATTTTTTTTTTATTAATATCATTATTATTTAGTGTCTGTGAACAATAACAAAACCAACTTAAAGAAATAATAATGGAAAAAAAAAAAAAAAAAGAAACTTAAAAAAATAACAGACAAGTGTTAGGGATTATTTTTTTTTTTTTTTTCAATGGTCAACAGGATTTTTAAATGACAGTGATTGACGGAGAAAAGTCCAGCTTAAGCAGAAAGCAACTAAACAAGTACGTTAAAAGCTTTTCATTTATGTTTTTTTTTTTTTTTTTTGTTTTTATATTAAAGAATTTCACCTCTACCACTTACCTTTCTCCTCTTTGGATTTTTTCTTTTTTGTCAAATAAATTGGAAAACACACATACATATAGATATATTGTGTGAGAGAGAGAGAGAGTGTGTGTGCCTATAATATGCGCCCATGAAGCAAGAACCGATCTATCGAAGGTGCCTGAAGGAGAAAAGTGAGTCTAATGTATCTCATTTCCTCTACTCTTGCATAACTGCAAGATTATCATCTACATGCACACACACTGCATACCCCATATATGCACACAAAGAATTGTGCCACAGAATAAATAGGAAGCACACACTGGGCACAGAAGTCTGCTGGCTGAGGGGGGGGGAGAGGTCCATACAGAAGTAGGAGGAAAACATACACACACACAAACTCACTCAGTCATTAAGATGGTGAAAAATACACTTTTTTTTTTTTTTTTTTAAAAGAACAGCACAGGTGAGGTGTAAGAATAATCAGAGACATTTTATTTATTTTTTATTTTTTTTTAAATGATGTGGGGTTTAGGAGTACTTTTTTATTCAACAAAGATTGAAAGGCAGTTGGGGGTGGGGAGTAAGAGGAAAAATAAAGGGAGTGACAATGTCTGTCCTTAGAAAAGAATTTAAAATAGATAAGAACAATTTGAATAATTTTTTTTTATTCCAACATTTATTTTTCCTGACAACCATTTGAGATACTTGTCTTTTTTTATGAGAAAGTAAATGGAGGGAGAAAGTCACCCCAGCAATCAGAAAACACGCACACACAAGTATTTAACTACTACACTATTCCCATGGCCTCAAGAATGCAAAATATCTCAAGGGAGACAACTCTTTTATATAACAGAACAAAACTAAATCAACTCAAGAGGTTTTCCATTTCTGATGGGAGAAATTAATTGAGTTTATCCAACTATATATGATAAGAAAGCATTTGATCATCTTTTACAGACCCCGTTTCTATTTTTTTCTTTCCTTTGGTCCACTCAAGAGAAATTTTAATTAACTGAAAATACTTTTAAGGATTTTGTCTTTTTTTGTTTTGTTTCAAATCTATATTTAGAAATAAATCCTTACTTTAAATGGATTCACAGAAAACTTTGGTCCTAAAAGAAAAAAAAATACAACAAGAATATTTCATGCTAAACTTTTAATCCACATTTTTATAGTTTCTGCAAGGTAAAAATTCAACTTCAAACAAATATTGAAATTGGCCTGTTGGTTAATACTTATAACCAAAAGGTGTGTGTATATATATATATATATATATATATATAAACTGGAAAGCTAAATGGTGTGGGGGAGAGAGATGGACTGAAGGACTAAGAAGAAAAAAAAAAAGAAAGAAAAGCATACATCATCAACAGAAAGATTTAATTGATACCAAAGATGGAAATGAAGAAAAACTTTGTGACATCAAGTGTAACAAGATCTGACTAGGTACGTGGCTTCCAGCAGAACTAAATAAAAAAAACAAAAAAACTTAGAGAAAACTAAAGTCAGAATTTCTCAAAGGTGCAAAAAGCTTCGAATAATGTTAAGTGTTTAAACTTAAAATCAAATTAACAATCCCCTCCCCCAATTCTCTTCTTTTACTAAAAAAAAAAAAAAAAGAAAATTAGGATTTAACTTGAATGGCTCAAAATCACAGCAAATCATGTGACCAATTTATTTTTTTGTAATTATTCTGATATGACATGTGGTGGGTGAGGTCTTAGGGGGTGAGGGGCAGGACAATGGGGTGTACTTAATACATCACTGGAGGCAGGTCACCATTATCAGCAGTAGTAATAGTAGTAGTAGTAGTAGCAGAAACAGTAGTAGCAGCAGCAGCAATGTAATTACACACATACCACCCACCCCCAATAGTTAATTGTTAATTATTATTGTTGTTGTTTTTAAATCTCTATGCTTTCTGCATATTATCATTATATGGGAATTACTTCTTTTATGTCGGATGTCATTTTTGCGATAACCAGGAAGAAGAAGATGAGGAGGAGGAGGAGGGTGTCTGTCCTGCAAGCACCTCACTTGCCCAGCACACAGCTAAACTGCTGTTGATCTTACTAATTTTTTTTTGTTTATACATTTTTTTTTTTCCTTCTTTTGAAAGAGTGGGGGGGAAAGCGAAGAGGGAGGATACACATTATAAAGCTGCTCTCCCCACCTCTGCCCTATCTGACCCCGACCTCCACTGTCCATCTGTAAAAGCGTCTTCCATCCTCACACTCCTTCCTGTTGATGTTCTAGAAAGTCGATCGTCTTACACTGACAAGGAGACGAAGCTGTTATACTGGGAGATGTTTCGCTTCAGGATATCCGAACATGGTCCAAGCACACGTTCAAATCTTGCTCGGTCTAATTTCACACACTTGAGGGGACCGCGGGCTACCACCGTAGCAGCTCGTGGCCGGTCAAGAAGAAGGGCGATCTCCCCTGAAGAAGAAAAAAAAAAAACAAAAGAAATTATAAATTAAACGCTCAAATTTTATGGTTTGACTTAATGAACAAAGATTTTTTGATGATTTCCTACAGCTTGTTTCAGGCCCCTTCAGAGAGAGAGAGAGTTACAAGAGACACACAGATGATGCTCAAGTCTGGCTAGTGCATTGTTTGAGTGATTTTTTTTTTTTTTTTTCTACCTTATCAACCTATTACAGTTTATTTAAAACCAAAATGTATTTGGGATTGGAAGAATATTTTTTTTTTTGCAAGAAAATATTGCATTAACAATTTTTCGATGATAATGATCCCCCCCCTACAAGTCTTTCCATTTTTGCATTTTTTTTTTTTTTTGGGGGGGAAAAGGGTTACTTTTAATTAATCATAATCTAACAGGATACTTATTTGCAAATACAGCACAAGGTCATATTAATATAGAACCTGTCATGCATGTATTGGTAGCACAATCTTATCAGTTTTTGTTGCAGACATCAAGATATACTCATGAGCTGACATTAATATAATTGGGAGGTGCTACCTGAGAGACAGATCCCTAGTAATAAGAAAAGTAACAATAAAAACCACAATCAGATTTAACAATATTTCTGAGATGAACTAAAGGAGGTGCTGTGGAGTAATGGATAGATGCTCGGATTGAGGAATCGGAGATCCGAGTTCGAATTCCAGTCAAATCCATTACATTCACTTATGTGCTAATACCTTTCAGAAAGGTATGAATCCTCTTCTCCCTGCAGCTAAGAAGCAGGACAGACCAGGTTCTATAGCCTTGGTTGGCAACTGGTGTACCGCAGAACAAAATGGCAACCTACTGTGGGGGGAAAGAAATCTGCCCCGTCAGTCATGTATCAAAAGATACATGATCGCCTGAGCATGTATCACACATGGCACATAACTGACTGAATCTATTCAGACGAGTATCCTTATCATGTTTGTTATAATCCCAGCATTTCAGCTCTTGTGCCCTCTAATACTCTTCAAAGATCATATTTAAAAACTTTCCAGTGGTTGTCAGTTCAATCCCAGGATCAGACAAACATGCATGTTACTTTTCACTGGACAAGATGAAAATAGTCTTACAAAGCCAAATTAATAAAAAGGTATTTCTATCATAGACAGTAAAATGCTAACCATCTGCTTGTTTCTTGAATTGAAATTGAATAAAGTGTTTGGATCAAAATTCCATGATGGTTACAAAATACCCTAAGTGCCTGAAGAAGGCAGAGTAAATGAGCTGAAACACAGATTTCCACAAATCATTTTTGTCAGCATAACAGCAATATCCTGGTACATACACACAATTGAAAATATCGTCTGGCTACATAATAATAATTCAAAGATGAACACCTGACTTTGAAGAGATAACAGTTCAAGAATTTAAAATTCAATAAACAAACATTTTGTTGTCAGTGGCAAACAAAAGGAGGAAATGATTTTACTAAGAGTTTTTATTTGCATTCATAATGAATGTTTGGCATTAAAAATGTTATGCTGCAGTCTGTTAATTCTCAAGTATGCTGTTAAAGAGATTATTTACCATTTTTCAGGAACCACATCTTGATATTTTCTAAGTTATTGCAAGAAAGAACAATCTGATGGAATACTGTTAAAAAGGGAGAGGGGGACTCCCAACATATTTTTGTATAATGATTTTAATATGAGAAGATATCGTCTGAATTCATTGTGCTGAATAAATTCAAGAGGAGAGCCAGAGTTGTGTCCCTTTGTAAATATTAGCAGCCATTGTGACAAATGTAAAGGAAGAAAGAAAAATCAACTTACCAAAGTAATCTGAAGGACCCAGTCGTCCAACCTCGATAGGTTCTTCATTATCAGCTCGTCTTTGTAGAACAGCAGCTGTTCCCTGAGAATAGAAAGAGAAATATTCTTGATCAATAGGCAATAATAATAATAGCAACACAGAGACAACTCAAATTAGCTTACTTTTGCTTGCAGTGAAGTCTTTGACAATTTCAAGATGAATGTTGGCTTGTGAAGATAGGCAATAAAGAATAAACACCAAAGTGTCTGTTACAGGAAAGTAACTAAACCAAATCCATACCATATAAATTGTTAAGAATTTCAAACAATGAATTTAGAAAAAGTTTATTTTCTTAATAAATTAAATGCAAAAAAAAGTTTCATTTTTCCAATCAGATGATTAAAATAGACATTGTTTTATATGTAAATGAACATAAGTGAGGAAGGTGCTTGGTATGAATTAAGGGTTAGTAAACTAATCTGATTTACTATGCCATGCTGTGTGTGTGTGTATATATATATATATATATATATATATATATATATATATAGGTACCTCCACGAAATCGCTAAAAAAGAGCATAGCTTGATGAAAAAAGACGCCCAACCTTGCCCGAAAACAAAATTTTATTGTCTAAATGCTTATGTTATTATTTAGAGGAAAGACCAAAGTTTTTTTAATTATTTTTAAAAATTTTTCCTTCTTTTTAGAAAATTCTAAATTTTGATTAAAAAAAAACCTTGTTTCTATTTGTATCAATGGAACTAGTAAATAACATAGACAATTTTTAGCACGTTTTTTGGTATGACACACATTAATTTGAAAAATCGGGTAAAAATAGAAATAATTATCGGATGTTAATGAAACTTTCAGGAACTATTCACAGATGATCGAAATTATTATAAAATTTTTTTTTATGAAAGTCATGGTAGAAATATTTTTTTAAAATATTTATTACCCCCCAACTAATTTGAAAACGCTAGAAATTGATCACATCGTTTTTAGTGATTACAATAATTAAAAGCACAGGGCTTTGAGGAATGCAAATCATGTTTTTTTTTTTTGTTTTTAATTGGATACCCAGTACCTGAAAATCAGCTCTGAATTGTAACATACAAAACTCAATAAAACAAAGATATTATTTAATTTCAAATGCTTTTATTTGCTTTTAGTTGTTTTTTATGAATATGGATAATATTTTCTGAAAGCAAAAAATTTTTTTCGATGAAAAATGAATTTTAATACAATTATTTGTTATTTCATTAATTATAATAGATTTTACATTTAAGTTGTTAAAATATTATAAAATTAGATAAAAGCCGACAGAGCTTTCATAATGTCCTTATGAGATAGATCTTTTTTAGCGGCGTTGTAAATTGTATCATTTTGACTAATCAGAAGAACCCCATAAAATTAAGAAATGTAATTTTGTGCTTATAATCGAGCTGTAATTATAAAATACGGAAGACCAACCAGAATATAATTAAGTTGTGTTATTTGAGTTAAGCATTGTTCTCCGCTGTTAAGGCCTTTACTTTTGCTAAAAACACATGTGGAGAAGTTAATTTGATTTTTCAATTTCAACTGAGAAGGTTACCTACAAGTATCAGTATCATCTTATGAAATTTATATGATCTTATTTTTATATTAATCTCAAGTTACGACATTTTTCCATAAATGAAATATCAAAATTAATAATAAAATGAATGCAAATACAAATAACAATAGAATGTAATAAATGTACATAAAATTATAGTATTTTATGTACAATTCTGATAAAATTTCATAAGAAAGGTACCTATAAATTAATTAGATACCTTTCTTAAGAAATATGAAATTTAATGTCACTCTTAACAGTTTTATTTTAATTTCTTTAGAATATATTTCCCATAAAGCATCATAAACGTATATGGTGAAAGCTAAGTAAAAAAAAAAAAAAAATTAGACCACTGTTTTTTTCGTTAAAAATAACGGGTAAATAATTTGTTCACGTAAATGTAAATTATTTCACTTTTCTCCTTCAAATAGAACAAATTAGCCTCACCGGAATCGTCAATATGTCATTCATCACATGTCAAGTGATTGAAAGTTTATGACCTTTGTTTTATTTTCAAATTACATCTTTTTGGCACAAAAAAGCTAAGTTAAGTTTGGTTCAAAATATTTTAAATAAACATTATAATTTCTGATTTTCTTAAAAATAAGTTTTGAAAAAATGATAATTGATATTTAAAAAATTTCAAAGTCAGATTTCCAGTTTTTTTTAAAATGAAAAAAAAATGGTCAATTTTGCTGACTCAAAAAAACTAGATTTTAACGAAAATTTGGACGTGCTAGGGAACGATTAAAAAATGGAAAAAAAATACCCAAAAATACTTTGACCTTTCCTCTTAATGAATAACAAAGATTTAGACGATAAAAATTTTGTTTTTCGTCAAGTTTGGCGTCTTTTTTCATGCTATGCTCTTTTTTAGCGATCTTGTGGAGGTACCTATATATATATATATATATATATATATATGCATGCATGCATGCAATATCAGTCATATATATATATATATATATGCAATATCAGTCATGTATGGCAGTGAATACTGGACATTCTCCTCACAGATGAATAGGAGACTTGAGTCAGCAGAAATGTGGTTCTACAGGAGGATGCTGAGCATACTATGGACCGAATATGAGAGAAATGACAAAGTTTTAGAGAAAATGGAAACAAAAAGGAAACTTATACTTACTTAAAACCAGAAAGAGACAGTTGAAATTTATAGAGCACATAATGAAGAAAGAGGGATTGGAAAACCTGATCCTCATGGAATAGACTAAGGGCAAGAGGGACAGAGGAAAGCTATGCATAACCTATTTAGTGAGCTTGAGTAAATAAATGACAGAACAGGGTTTAGGAGAAATAACAAAAAGACAAAATTTATTAAGAGCTATAAAGGACGGGAAGTTGTGGAGAGTCATTGTCATCTACATCCTGAAGGGACACATCACAATAAAAGATACTCCTAGGAAATTCCTTTGTCACAAAAAACTTTCACTGAATCATGAAGGTACCCATGCACCACCTTCCAACAAAAGACATTTAGTGATGAACTTGCTTCTAGCAAAGTAAAATTTAAACCCACAAGAAGGTTTTCCCAGAGCCTGAACACAACATCCACACAGCAACTATCCAAGGCAGCTAGCTACCTTGCTTGTCTCCAAAATTTAAAAAAAATCTTTTCAACCCCACCTCCTCCCCGGTTTGTAGACAACAAATGACAGACAATAATCTTGTTCCCAGACAGAAACCAATATGGCTTCTGTGAAGTAACACAAAAACATTTTTCACCACTGAAAAATAGTTATTTAATAATCTCTGGCAGAAACCAATAAATGTTAGTCTGGTGTCTGGCCTATCAACTAAACAGACGTACAGATTCTGCCACCTCTGTTTATTTAGTCATATGGCAAATAAATATTGTTTCACATGTACAACTTCTGTGCTAAGACTAAACCTTTTTAATAATGCCCTAAAATAGCCAAAAGACAAACTGAATTTTATGAGACAAATTTCAAGCATATAACCTAGTTATCCTCTCCTACCTTTACAACAACCTTTAACTTTTCCATATCACCCCTCCCTCCTCTTGGTTTCTATTCTAGTCTCATTCAACCCAACCGCCCCGACACTCACTTTGAATGACAAACAACTATAGTAAGACACTTGTTCTAATTAACATGGCCAAAACTCTATAATTTTTCTCCAATTTCTTGCTGTGGGTAGGAACCAACATCAGGCCTGCCAGTTGTCACTGATCCCTTCTTTCAATCAAAGGGAGGGTCCCAATTCATCCACAGCTTTCTTAGCGCTCCAATTCTGAGCTCTTATTATGGATAGTTGGATTCTTTTTTACGATTGGGTCTCTGAAGTTGTATGATATTGGATATTCTTTCTTCTTTTGTCCCTTCAAGGATGTGAGCAATCATGGCTCTCCACAATTTTCTGTCAGCCATTGCAGCTTTAACTTTTTATCAAATCTCTTTGTCTTTACTCTGCCATTTATTCACATAAACTAATTAAATACGTTACTCTCAATTTCCATCCAAATTACACCTTACATACTTTATACTTGTCAAGTAAAAAATTGGGCAAGAGATTTGATATTTTAAAAAAATAGGTCCTCCTAGCCACTTTTTTCCTGTTAAATACCAACAGACTAAATGCCCCATGTTTAATAAACCAGTTAATGAAATTTGAAAAATAAAAAGCCAACAAAATGATTGATGATATTTATTATATATTAGCCATTTGACTAAATTGAAGTGTGACACCATTGGAATGGTGCTAGAAAATTGAAAAAAAACAAACAAACAGAAAAACACTAATTTCCAACAGAAGATATACTGATGACCAGATGAGGGGAAAATGAAAGAAAAGGATCTTTGTTTTTGTTTTTTTATTGGAAAAAAAAAAAAAACTAGAAAAATGTAATTAAATTTCTCATCCTATGGAGAAGTAAAACAAAAAGACCCTTTGGTTTTGGTTTAGGAGTGAGATTAAGTGATGGGATATTCTTGGAGGTACCAAGACCTCCTGGAAAGAAAAAGATAATGGAATTTCGTGGAAGGAGGGGCTTACCCATATTTGGACATTTGCAGGGAGAGCCCTGATTGGTTGTTTGGGGAATGCTAGCATACCCAGAGCACATCATGCCTCACCTCAGCCCTTGCACATGGGTCCATAAAAATAGAACGCCATATAGATGGAGACATACTACGGCAGAGACATGGCAGAGAGAGAGAGAGAGACTGCAAATACAAGACTGAACAGAGAAATGATAATCATTGCTTCACCTGATCTTGTGTGATTTGCCACCCAGAGAAAAGAGAAAAAAAAAAAAGGCTCTGACTTAAAGCCTTATTCCAGAAGTTTTGTTCAAAACCATAACAATATGCCACTAAAATTGGGAAGGTTCGATAGTTATACCCTGGAGAACATTGGCCTGCTTAAGCCATCAATAACTGTACTATCAACTTTCTATCAAGGAATTGTATATAAATAATTTTTTCTCTTTTAATCCAATTTTTTTTTTTTTTCCTTTCATGTAACTTTACACTGACCGAACCAAACCAAGTCATTGATTCCAGTTAACCATTCAGACCAAGCTAGTCTTGTGATCAATTAAAACAACATGGAATGAGACAAGACTTTGGCCGAAGTGATCAATTCTACAATCAGCCCAGGGGATTGAGCTTCAATACAGAGTGGTCAGAATAGATGTCATAGAAACAAAGAGAAAAATTTTAAAGTCAGAATTTTCCGACATACCTGTATCCTTTTTCAATGAGACAAGATACAGACAAAGAAGTGAGACTTACTCTTCCAAGGAATGTTGCTGTTGGTTAGAGGATTCCTTGTGCAAACTATATTCTCTGAGTAAACCCAAATCCCTGCTTAATCCTTTGGTGTATGATTTTATTTTGAAAATATATTTTAACTCCAATTTGAATCTTTCTTGTCAGCTCTTAAATGGAGTTTCATGTTTCAAATTAGTCAAAAGGCTAAAATATAATAAATATCACAAATCTTATTGGCCATATTGTTATTAATTTCTTGGCTTTTTATTCCTCAAATTTTATTAACCAGCCTATTAAATCCACCTCTAGAGATTTTTGTTATGAAGAAAAAAGAAAAGAAAAAAGTTGTTGATTACAAATAGCTTTTCTATTCATTCAGAAAGTTTTTTTCTTTTCTTTTTTTTTTTTTTATTTACTTATCTAAAATCGAATATTGAACTTCAGATTTCAAAATGCAGTTCCCAGATTTTCTTTGAGAAATGACCAAAGATGGAAAAGAATAAACTAGAAATAACATTAAAAAAGAACAGAGGACATTTATTTTCCCCTCAACATTTTCGGTCAAAACTTTAATAGATAAACAAATAAAAACGAAAAACATTGATTAAAATGCAGAACTGACTCAATGATGGATTTGCACAATTAAAAAAAAAAATTCTTATAATTAATGTTTTTTTTTTCATTTAGCCATTTATTGACTGATTAAAAAAAAATTCCAGACATGGATATCTTTTTCATGTATATTTTCAATGTACAGATATTGTCTCATTTATTTTTATATATATATATATATATATATATATATATATATATATATATATATATATATAAATAAAAAATGAAAGATGATTCATGGTGCTTCTTATAAGAGGTAGATATAATAGGCCACCTAATGAAATTTGAGGAATAAAAAGACAACAAAATGATAGCATTATTGGCAATAAGAATGATGATATTTATTATATATTAACCTTTTGACTAAACTGAAGCACAAAGAGAAAGATTTTAAAGTCGGACACGCCTGTGTCTATTTTCAATAAGATGAGGTATAAACAAAGAAGTGGGACTTACTCTTCTGAGGAATGTTGTTGGTTAGAGGATTCCCTGTGCAAACTATATTCTCTGAGTAAAGCCAAATCCCTGTCTAATTCTTTAATATGTTATTCTATTTTGAAAATGTATTAACTCTGATCTGCATTTTCTTTTTTTTTGTCAGCTCTTAAATAAAGACACTAAATGCCTGCATCTGATGCCATCAATACTATGGAAGCTGAAGTCCCATGGTTTTAACAGTAATGCATAGAGCAATTTCTCTTTGGAATGGTTGTTACAACTGAGAATTGGAATTTCTACAGTAATCTAAGCCATATTAAAATCTTAAAAATAAAATACAGCTCTAAAACTAGCAGAAAAAGTAGATCAAGTGATGTAAGTTAGTGTCCCTTTTAATTTACCAGTTGTTTTCATTGTAAAAAATTTTTAAATGGTTTATTATGAGTTATTTTACTAGTGTACATAAAAATGTTGGTTATTTCCCAAGAGAAGTACAAACCAAATTGCAAAGCAACTTGGACAAAATGGTAACATTTCCAACACAACTGTGTATCTAATGCCTGTACTTGTAATACCAACAATAAAATACTTACTTCTGTGATAATGAAGAAATCCTCTCCTGGTTCTCCCTGCCGGACAATCTGTTGTCCATCATCAAATTGAACAGGCTCTAAGGCATCAGCAATGCTTAACCGTTCCCACTTATCCAAGTTATCTGGCAAAAGTAAAAAGCAATTATATTCTGTTATTAGAAAGAATCAAATTTTGCATAGAATTTGTAATGATTAATAATCAAAAAATAATATTTTTTATTTGAAAATATAGAAAATGGTTTGAAGTAATTCCATCTTGTAAATATACTTTAATTGAAAAAGTAAAGAGATTGAAGGAATAATTTAGAAATTTTAGTTTAATTCCTAAAAAATTGAAAGTAGATTCATTAAAGGCATATTTAGGCTCATCAATATTTGATTATCATAATACAATGTCAGTTTTTCAACATTTGAGGAGAATGAAATTTTTTAAAAAAATCTGATGTGTTTTTTTTTTTTTTTCACTTTTCTGACTCAAATAAAGTGAATATTTCTGTAATAATTTCTTAACTAGAAAAAAAAGAAAATAATGACTTTTTTCTCTACAATTATTCAGTCTTTTTGTTTTTATGCCAATTGAATATAAAAAACAAAAACTTAGAAAAATGCACAATTGTGTAAATTGCAACATAAATATTCAAGTTGTCTATTCGTAACTTATGTATTGACAATTGAAACAAATAATTTCAATTTAACAGTATTATATGTACATCATGTAAATTTGACCAAATTCAATCAGAAAGATATCTCCGCAAATGTGACAAAAGAGGGAGAGGAAAGATTGTAAAAACAAGAGCCAAAAAAAACTCTCTTACCCAGTATGGACACTTTGCAGAGGAATTCATCATACATTTTTCTCTTTCTGATTGTACTGCCCTGGAAAAGAAAAAGAAAAGAAAAAAATCAAATTTAATTCAAAAATTGAAAAAAAGAAAGAAAAAATTGGATGAATTTCTCATATGAATCAATACAGAGAATTTTATTTTTCCTGCAAAAAAAAAAAAAAAAAAATATTACCATTCTACAACATTCTTGAGTCAATAATTGGCATGGCAAAATTCAACATAAAAAAAACCCAATAAAATGAAAGTAAATGAACAATATTCAAGGGACGATATAAACTGTCTAAGTTGAAATACACACGCCTACACCAATGATCTTTTCTTTTTATGTGCCATGTCCTTTCAGGACATTGGTGAACATGGCTCTCCACCTCTTCCTCTATCCCTTGCAGCTCTCAACAAGTCCCTTCCCTCTGCTTCCTCCCCCAGACAACATTCAGTCATCCACTTGCTTAAGTCCACAAGGTATGTCACGTGTTGTATTCCCTTATCTCTCTTTCCCTCTATTCAACCTGTGAGTATCAGATTCTCCAGGCTCTCCTTCCGCATTTTGTGTCACAGAAACTTCAGCTGCCACTTCTTGATATTAAGTATAAGCCTCCTCCTTGTTTGCATCCTCTCTAAGACATCATTGTTGCACACATGCTTGGTCCATGATATCCTTAGTATCCTTCTGTAGTACCACATCTGTCGCCTCAAGTCTCTTCTTCATCTGAGGAATTCGTCCAACATTTGCTGCCGTAAAGGACAGATGTCACGTAAAAGCTCAGTATTCTTTTCTTTGTTACCAAAGAAATCTTCCTGTCTTGCAATACTCTGCACAGCTTTTGGAATGTGTCCTTGGCCATCCCAATACTTCTACGGATCTCAGTGTCGCACTTACTATCCTCTGTCAAGACATGTCCCAGATATTTAAACTTCGCATCTCTGCTTGATTCTAGTGTTTCCAACCTTCAAGTACTTTGGGCTCATCCTCTTACTTACTAGGGATACACAGGTTTTCTTATGATTTAAACAGTCCTTTCTTCTCACTCTCCACAAAATACCTTCTGAAGAAGATTTTGTAATTTCTTTTCTGTGACTAAATCAAACTGTGTCAAAAAAAAATCTTATATTTGTTAAGAAATGTTTGCCAGAAGAAACTTCATAGAATTTTCCATTTCTCTCAGAATTTCACTGTATAGGTTGAACAGGCCTAATGAGAAGACACATCCTTACCTTAAATTTTTCTATTTTTGTATATTCACTGAAATCATCGAATAATTATCAAAAATGCTCTTTGCTGCCAGTATAGGTTCTTGATTATTCTGATATCTTTCCCAAATATATTGAGGTTGCTGACCAGTTCCATCAGATCCTTGAGGCGTACTTTATCAAAGAACTTACATAGTCTATGTAGCATCTGTATCGCTCTTTTTGATAACATTCTGAACATGAATATTGCATTCCTTGTTCCAGCGTCTATAATGAACCCACAACTGTTCTCGTCTTATCTCTGACCTGATTCTGCTGCGTGCTCTGTTCATTAGAGTACGGAAGATAAGTTTTGTCACATGGATCATTAGACTTATTGTTTGGTGAAGTTTGCATTCATTTTTGAACTTATTGCCACTGTTAACAGTGAAGTATTTTTTTGCATTCAATTTGTGCCTTTTAAATCCAGACATATTAAGACGAAGATAGATGCTGAGGTCTTCCATATATCCTGAATTGTTGTAGATTTCATTTGTTATTTCAGTAATCTTGTCCATGCCAAATTCATCTAAGGCTGTCAGCATTTCTGCTACAATTTGGTCCTGCTATCTTGTTTCTGTTCAATTAAAACAAGTCACGAATTTTGCGGTTTTCAAATTCCAGGTCCGTCGATAGTTCTTTGTATTGCTGGTTGTTCCCTTACATCACTTTAAAGTTCTCTAATATACTAGCACCAGCATTGAAGAATGTTTTTTCCTTCTCTAATATGAGTGTTCCATCCCTTGATTTTAAGCAGCATGTGGACATGCATGTCTTCTGTTATGTTAGTTCTCTTATTTGTTTATGCAAATTTCCTTTCTTCGTGGTACTCAAATCTTTTTATTGCTGTACATTTTTCGTTTAGCCATTCTTCTTTAGCTTGCCTGCATTTGGTCCTTATTTCATTGTGTAATTTTCTCTACTCCGTTCCGTACCTTGGCAGAGTTTTCTCTCTTCTTTCCATCATGTCGAGAATCTCATCAGTCATCCATTCAGGATTTTCAACAATCTCCTTTCAGATGATATCGTTTGCTGATGTCACTAAAGCGTCCTTTAGTGCATCCCATTTTGAGTTTCCATTATGTACTTCATATTTTTTCACATTGTCCATATATTTTTCTTTTTGGTTAGGGTCGCTCAGGAGTTTGTTGTATTGCAGTTTGGATACTGCATTAGGCTTCTTCAATTTCTGCAGTTTCACTCTTAGTCTACAGATAACAGGAATTGGAAAACCTTTACAATCGGCAAATTGGTACTTTTTTGCAGTAAATCATTGCATTCCTGAATCTTTTGTTGATGGTTATATAATCAATTTGGTTTTTACTTTTTCCTCCTGGATGCCTCCATGTCCATAACTGTCTTGGATGTTCTTGGAACCATGTGTTGGCTATTACTTGGTCATTGGCTGTGCACCATTGGAACCCTTTTTCTCCATATTCATTGTGGGTTCCTAGTCCAAATCTTCCTGCTATATCCCCTGCCTACTTTGACGTTTAAGTCTCCCATGATAATGATACACCAATGATCAATCTTTCCATATTATTAGTTTCCGTCTTTTGTGAGACAGAGGTTCTACTTTTGTGAACCATAACAAAACATCTTTCACACATAAAATGATGCTGACAGGAGCCAGTATTCTTCCAAATTTGACTTATATGCTCAAGCCTTGTGCAGATGTGATTCTATTGACATGGGGTTTAAAATGAACAATTGATTTACCCAGACTAAAAAGGTTAATGAAGGATGATAATGACAAAGAAACACACAGGTAATTTTAACAAGATAAAGAATTTATTCATAAATTTACACACTTGATGTAGTACCAGTATCTGGTTTCATTAAAATAAATCAGAAGTTTTAAGGTTCATAGTTTTAATGTATTATCATGAAGAGAAAATGTTCATACAACAGATTAAATGACACAAAATAATATTCAAAATGTTTAAGACAATGGTAAGAGAGTTTGTTGCTCACTAAAGGGGGGGGTATGGTTTGTATACATTCAAAAGTAGATGAAAAGAGAGAGTCTAAAATACATGGATTGTTGAGAGGAAATTCTTCAAAGTACTGCATGCTAGTTAGATGCCAATAACATAATTGGCAAGTAATTTTATACTGGTGAGTACTTCAATGCTGGTCATGAGGAACTGAAATGAAACATTTCACATGACTTCAGACGCTCTTCTCATTAATTTTTCTCCTCAAAAGGAAAGATAATACTCACTAATTTTTTCCTTCTTGGCTATATTTCTAATTTCTGTGAAGGCAAGGTTTTCATTGGTCAAAAAATTTCTGTGAAGGCAAGGTTTTCATTGGTCCAAAAAGAATCTCACATAGGCTAGAGAATTTCTTTCCTCTTTCTTCAGTCATCCAAATTTGAAGCAAGTGTGTGAAGAGAGTTATTATTTCACACTCACTACAGTTCCAAATATCATTTTGGCATGCTTTTTTTCAACACATTCTAAAATCAGAAGCATACTCCTAAAACTTTGATGGTTGTATTCCAATAGGTTTGATATTATCTTTCAGCTTATCTTTGCCTCTGAAGTATTCCTACATTTCACATGAATATCAGAAGTTTGCAATAAGTAAGAATCTTCAGCAGGCTTTCATCAAACATCCTAACAACATGACCAGTCCATCTTAATTGAAACTGCATCAAGAAGGACTCTATGCTTTTTATATCACATTTAACAAACAATTGCTTGTTTGAGACTGTCTTTCCATGTGAAACCAGATATTTCTCCAAGACCTCTTTTATGGAAAACATCTAGCTCTATAAGTTTTCTAAATGATGTTTATGATTTTGACTCATACAGAAACATTGGTATGATCACATCATGATAAACTGAAATTTTCAAACTCACTTATTCCAAAGCTTTAATCACAGATTTCCAAAGGCCTCACTGACCTTGGCAATTCTATATACTATTTCATCATCTAAAGAAATGTTAGTGTTGATTTTTGCTTTCTAAATATAGGAAACATTTCACATACTTTAAAAGGCATATTGTTCAAACATTTGACACAATAGTGCACTGCATTGTAGCCAGGGTGACTTACTCCTGACTGGTGAATGAGAGGAGTAATTTTTCAGGCCCCATTATGGCATCTATCATTTTTTTTGAAACTGTTTTATGGCCTTCTGCAATATTTTTTTTTTATTATTAATTATTTTTAAATTGATGTTACACTATTGATCATCAACTAGTAATATACATTGTGTATCTGCATAGCCAATACGGTGCATATTACAAAGGAACCCCTGATTTTTTTTTTTGTTTTTTACTTTTTTCTACCTAAGTTAGATTGTCAATCATCAACTATAATAATCAACAGGGCTGGTGCTTAGTACCCTGAACCTGTCAATGGCATGGGGGGGGGGCAACATGACTACTGGAGAGGGAGGAGAAGCAGAAGTGCTAATTTCTTCAGTGCTTACTTTTTTTTAAATTGTAATTTTCTTTCTGTACAATTCTTTTAAATCAATTAAAACAGTAATATATCACAGTAAAATCATTTTTTTAATTCCAAGATCAACAACTGAGGAGGATTTCTGATTTTTTTTTTACTAATAATACTAATCACGGCTAATAATTAAAATAATATTTCTATTCCCTATTTTTTACATTTCTAGAAAGCTAAAACAAAGAAAATGATTGCTTTCAGAAAAAAAAACAAAAAAAACAGTTTAAATATTTAAACACATGTGTTGTGTTGGAATCTTTGTAAAACTTTATCAGTGGTGATGCATCAGCGATTAATCATTTTGGAAATGTAAAAATTTGTGATTTAAACATT